CAAATCTATCTTGGAAGAAGTATAGCTTGAGTGGTCCTTAGAAACCAAGATAGAGATACTTAGTCTTTCATACTTTCAATATGCTATAAGAAGACATTAGTCTCTGACTAATGTCATCACTCTTGGTAAAGTGAAGGATCAGTGAAAAGAGAATGAACCCCAATGAGGTGAATTGGCACAGTTGCAGTAGCAGTGGGCTAAAGCTTAATGACAATTTTAAGGATGTCACAGGGCTGGGCAGTGTTCTGTTATACATAGAGTCACTACCTGTCAAATGCACCTTGAAGGAACCTAGCAACAACAACAAGTTTAAGTGTGAGTTCCTTGATGGTGCAAATAACTAATAACCCTCAGTGGCTTACAAAAAGATTAGTGGTTGGAGTTTACCAAAAGACTCCTTGAAAGAAAGGCCTGAAAATCAGCTTCCAAAAAAACTCCTTGAAAGAAAGTCCCGAAAATCAACTTCCAAAATACTCAACCATTGAAAACTTCATAGAAAAAACATAAATCCTGACACATACATATTGACCATGAGCTGGAATTCACTTGATGGCAACTGATTTACCAGTTAAATTTAAATCTCCTACAAGATTCCAGCGACCTATTATGAATCTTCCAAAAAAGAAATACTAAGGTTCCTACATGTTTGACAATAAGGTAATCAATTTTCATAAGATCTTGCAAAAACTAAATATGTTATAAAGTGTAGAGCAAAGGGAAACACATTTGAGATAACCGAACTTTGTTTTGAATAAGCCATCGGTGATGGCACAACTTTTTCTGGTGAATTTTAGAGAAGAATGAAAGGAAAACTAGTAATTTTGGCACTTATTAAATTTATACAATTTTGAAAGTAAATGTAAAGCATGTGACATATAAATACATTTATTTTAATATTGGTAAAAATGATTGGACCTGTGCTTATGAAAATATGTAGAATAATCAGATGATGCATAATCTACTAATTTGTTGTTAAACTATCATTGATGTTGTGTTGTTATGTGCCGTGGAGTCGGTTCCGACTTATAGCAACCCTGTACAGGGTTTCCAAGGCTGTAAATCTTTGTGGGAGCAGAAAGCCTCATCTTTCTACAGTGGAACAGCTGGTAGTTTCGAACTGCTGACCGCGAGATTAACAGCCTGATTTCGTAACCACTACTCTACCAGAGCTCCTTCATGAGGAGGTACAAGAGCAACTCTGTTTAGAGTCTGTAAATCTTTATGGGATCAGAAAGCCTCATCTTTCTCCCATAGAATAGCTGGTAGTTTCAAACTGCTGAGCTTGAGGTTAGTAGCCTGATTTGTAACCACTACACTACCAGAGCTCAAACTATCATTAGGCTCTTAAATATGCTGATTTAGGTTCACAACTACTTTTTTAAAATATTATTTTCATCATACACTGACCTGCCAGATCCTCTGAATTTGTTCCTGTAGTTTCATTCTGACCTCGTCCATCTGTTGTTTGAGTTCTGGGTGGTGCTTCCAGGTATTTCTATATCTGGTTGTTGTTTTTGTTGGTTCTCAATTCAAAGAACTCCCTTTAGGATGTTTTGAAGTGCTAGTTTAGCTTTGATAAAGTCCTGTAGTTTCTGTTTATCCTGGAATGTATTGATTACACTATTGTATTTGATAGACAACTTTGCTAAGTAGACAATTCTTGGTTGACTTTTTTTTTTTTTTTTTTCTTTCAGGGTTTTATATATGTCTCTCCATTGCCCTCTTAACCTGCATGGTTTCTTCTAAGAGATCAGAATTTAAACGTATTTCTTTGCTTTTGTAAGTAACACTTATCTTTTCTTAGCTGCTTTCAGGATTCTCACTTTGTCTTTGATTTGAGGGCGCTTTATGATATGTCTTGGTTATAATCTTTTGGGGTCTATCCTTCCTGGGGTTTAACGATCTTGATTATCTTCTCATCTTTCAGGATGTTGAGGCAATTTTCTTTCAGCAGATCTTCAACTATCTCTTCTGTAGTCTTCTGTGATGCTTCTTGTTCCAGAAGTCCAATCACTGTTAGGTTATCCCTCTTCATAAATCTTACACTTTCTTCAGACTTTTTTAAAATTCTATTTTCTGCTTGCTTGTCTATCTTAGCAGTATTGAAAGATTTGTCTTCAAGTGCACTGGTTCTGGCTTCCAGCTCCTCAATTCTACTCTTTTGCCCTTTCTGTGTAATTTCTATTTCTGATATTTTATTATTAATTGTTTGGACCTCTTTTTGTAGGTTTTAAATTGTTCCCAATGCTATTTCTATCTTATTTTATTGTCTCTGTATCACTTCCCTGACTTCTCCTTTATTTTCTCAACACCTAATTGGAGCATTTGGGTGTACCTTAATAGCTTTCTCCTGAATTAATTATCAGGCAGTCCTGAAGCCTGCCTTCCTTCCAATAGAAAGCCTAGGTTTACCTCCAACTTATTATTTTTTTTCAGCTACTCTATATTGTTTCTGGACATGAGCTGAGATCTTCTGTTGTTTTTTGAGCATTTTCAATAATAAGATGTATTTTCAATAATTAGATTCATGTATATTGGTGTATTATTAAATTTTCTGATTCTCTCCTGGGAGATGGGATCGGCAAATGTGATCAGGAGATGAAATTCCCTTTTAATGTCTCTTATTACTCAACTCAGAGTAATTTTAATAAGTGTTCACTCTCTTTTGATGTATAGCAGCTGGTATTGGCTCTTGCCAAGATAGTAGGATTTCACAGGGTGCAATTGTAGTTTGGCTATATGACTGTAATTGCTGTCTCTTCTTGAGTAATGTAGGGAGATAAAGAGCGCCCCCAAGTAAAAGGGGGAGCAAAAAACAAAACCCATTGCAAAATATGAATAAGACTTTAATGCCCTTTCTGGCTTCTTGCGTTTAAGGCCTCTGAGAAATTTCAAGATGTTACCATTGCTCCTTTTGATATAACTTGAGATTTAATTTTCAGCCTCTTTCCTTTTTTTTGTCTGTCTCTCTCACCTCTCTTCAAGTCCATTCAGGTGTTTCTTCTAGTGAGACACAGCCCAAGGCTGGCCAGAACAATTTTGGAAGATCCTCCCATTTTAAGCTGTTTTGACTCTCTTGCTCCTTCAATTCTGGGTCCAGCAGTTTATTCTAAGCAGATCCATGCGTGTACATAGTAGAATCCTCCAGGGATGAGGAGGCTGCCCAATCACTCAGGAACCCCCTCTAGTCACCAGAGTGGAAGTACACAGACAGAGACAAATAAACAGAAGAAAAAAGATGTTCACACCTTCATTTCCAATTATTAGTCAGACCTTGTGATGGGAGCACTCCCTTGATCTTTCACCTGCTCCATCCTGCTAAAGACGGATGTTCCAGGACCCATTGCCAACCACAGATCAGAAAGCACCTCCTTTCTTGCTTCTAATACAAATCCCACTAGCAGTAAGCCTTTGATTCTTATATTATATGTAGTTCAGAGTTCCAGGATCATCCCTTGAAACTGCTTCATCCAGTATTCTGTGGTAGTGGTCTGTACAATTATTTTTACAACTGGTTCACAATTACTTTTATAACTGGACTTCATCTAATAATTTTCTACTTGAATTTTTTCTCTATATTCAACTATAAAACATTGAGATGATTGTATGTATGAGGGGTGAGGTGGCCAGTTTCTGAGTGGATAAGTGTAGAGTTGCTTCTGCCTTGACATGCCTAAAAATTATATTTGCATATATAAGGAGTCAAGTAAAGTAATCACAATGATGTATAATGAGATGTGCAAAAGATGTGTCCCTCAGATGATGAAGATGTTCAGGGACAGCTTCATCCTTGATATCAAGAAAGTTCATTCTTACTATCAAGCTTGTCTTGAACCAACTTGGAGAAGGTTTTTAGAAGAGACAACTGTTGGACTCAGTCTTGAAGGTTGGATAGAAGTTTGCTATGTGGAAAGTAAGGAGATGGGAGTGTTGGAGGAAGATATAATTCCTGTAAGAGTCTGCAATGGGTTAAAAAAAAAAAAAACTGTGCTTTTTTAACTACTGAAATGAGGATTAATATGACTGCAGAGAATGTACAAATGATCATTTGCAGGCAAAGAAAATAGACATATTGTAAAAAGCCTTAAATGTTATTTGGATTTTATCCTACAAGTACTGATGATTTTGACTTTATTTGTATTTCAGAAAGAATGTTCTGAAGATGCAATGCAGGGGTTAAAGTAGAGGGATATAAGAGACAAGATTCTTGTCTCAAAAAGCATGAAGTGAGAACACTCTGAACTAAGACAAATGCAAATGCAGAAGGACCAAGGTTATCTTGGACCAGAGAACAGATGGATGTAGGCCTTGAGGAAGAAGAGAGTTTCTTTACAGAGATTTTGTCTGACACCACTTTCAATTTTTTGGCACTATTGTTGCTGTTAGGTGCTGTGGAGTCAGTTCCAACTAATAATGACCTTGTATCGGGTTTCTTGTGGAGTCCTAGTGTGGCGCTGTGGGTTAACATGTGCCAGACTGCAAATCCATTTGAACTGCAAGGTCGGTGGTTCAAGCTCACCATCTGCTCCTAAGAAACCCTATACAGGGTCACTATGGGTAGGAACTGACTCAATGCCACCTAAAAAACAACATAGAGTTTCTAAGGAATGATTGGTGAGTTTGAAATGCTGACCTTGTGGTTCAAATCGACTTTGAGGACAAGTGCTTATGCTATGGCACCATGCTAGGACCACATTTTAACGTAGGAAACTGGCATTATAGACTGTTCCAACAGAATATACAGAATCAGTGACAGATTGATCCAGTCATTAAAATAACGTCTTCAATTTAATGGAATGTATATGAATCGGGCTGCGAACTGGAAGGTCGGCAGTTCGAAACTACCAGCTGCTCCGCGGGAGAAAGATGAGGCGATCTGCTCCTGTAAAGATTTACAGCCTTGGAAACCCTATTCAGGGTCGCTATGGGTCGAAACCGACTCGACGGCACTTAACAACAACAACATACTATTATATAGTAAAACAACAATATTATTTTAGTATGAAAACTGTCCAAATGTTTATTTCAAATTCCCATTTAAAATACCTTCAAGTAAAAAGTTATACAAAAAACAGATATACAAGTTTGAAGCAACTAGAAGCATGACACATACATATACATAAAAACAATCAAAATTCAATTCAATACAAAGTTGAGTGGTATCATATTGCACCAAAATGTTATCCTATTTTTTAAAAAGCACATAGATAAAGTTTCCCTCAGATGAAAGCACACTTCTTTCATAGTATCTTACCACTTACACAAATAGCCCATAAACACCATCTGGCAGTGTGATTGCTGCACCAGAACTCTCCCCAGAGGGAAATCATTTAACTGTAGAAAAATCCATTTTATTTCACATATTACATACTGGTGAAGGCATCAGTGACAGAGAACCCTATGAAACACAACACAATCCACAAATGAAGGTCCCTTTGCACCATTTATATTTTCATAGTTAAATATCTTAATACTCTGGTTGGAATGTGGTACAGAGAAGCATTTTTCTCAGGTCTTAAATCAATCATTCTATGACATCAAATAAAATAAGTATAAAATATGCACACTTTTACTAAGTTTCATTATTATAATGCCAAAGTGAAGAATCCCCTAAGGAGATGAGGACCATTTATGAGGTTCCTAGTTTCCTAGCTGGACCTCAGTTCCTCTTTAGGTCACCAGGTCACATCCAGCATGCCCTTCAACTATGGAAATATTATAAGGTCATGACAAACGTATTCCAGAACCTAGTTGAAGGATATACCTGTCTCTACATTATAATTTAAGCACAAATTCAAGAGATGGCTACCAGAAGAAACTTTAACAGAATGCTCACTACTGCTTTACTGAATTGATTCTGTCATCATAAGCCATTAACACTTGTCATACAATATAAAATATATTTAAATACATTCATGCATAATACATATATATTAATGTGAAATACATTCATAAGAATTTGTCTACCCCTTTTCAATTAAAAAAAGAAGTTATTGTGACTAGGCCACATTTTACCACAGAGCTTGCTAGACCCACTTTCATAAAGTAAATACATAATACAGATTTACACGTAATAAAAAGACATGAAACTTTCATCAAGAGATAAATTCTGATCAATAACTAAAAACCATCTCTACCAGTGCATCACTACCATCTAATCCTTGCTAGGATAATAAAGAACCAAGTGTAATGAGATTTAGGGTCAAGTCCTTGTCAGAAAAGTATGACAAATTAAGTTTGCCAAACATTCAATAGAAGAGGCAATTTTTCTTGCCGTATTTCTGACTTGTGCTTATTATAAAACCACAGGGAGCCAACATTTAGCAGGAGAAATACACAACTGCATGCTTATTCACCTATGTAGCATAGGGAGAAGACAATATGTTTCATCATACTAATCAGTGTATTCTTAGCACAACTGATGTTCAGATTTGCAAAGTTCTCAAAATGTTGATAGGTACTAGTGAAAACTCATTACTTACTGTTGTACTGCTATCAACTTAAAACAGATAGAAATTTGGGGCCAATGCCTACGTTCCAAGCAATGATGTTTTCAAGGCAAAGTATATTCTAACAGTACCAGGAACAACCTAAGGAATTTAAGTATTTGCCACTTTCTGAACACAAACTCAAGCAGTCCCCTGGTTACAAACATTCAACTTACATATAACCTCCATGATACGTTATATTAAAAAGTTGAGGTACATACAATGGTTTGTAGTAACAAACAGTGTTTCTTTGCAATGAACATTAAAACATTATTATTACTGTAGTATTCTGTTAAAGATGTTTTAGTACATCTGAAAGTGTTTATTGGTTTATGCATAGAGAGAAACACTATATACTCTATACTAAGATAAACCTTTGATTTGACTAACTGTTGTTAGACCTGAACTATACCTAACTGCTCTGACTTATGTACAAATTCAATTTAAAGAGGTTTTGGAACAAATTTTTTCATAGTCCAAGGAGTACCTGTAATGTCAATCAAGATAGACATATTGAAAATTTAATTCCAGGTTTATAACCGGCCTGGTGAGGCCGTAGGATAAGTACTGGATTGTAAGACCAGTTTGAACTGCAAGGTCTAGAGTATTTTTGTGATTTGTTCATTGTTGTTAAGTGCCTTTAAACCAGTTCCAACTAACAGTGACCCTATAGCAGGTTTTCAAGGAGAGTCTGGTTGATTTGAGCCACTGACTTTGCCAATGCTTTATCCTACAGTGCCACACCAGGGCTCCGATTGAGTGTGGTACTTTAGGATCAGCACTGGACTGAGAACCAGAGGTCAGTTGTTCAAATCCACCAGCTGCTCCTGGAAACAGGGTCACTATAAGTCAAAACTGACTTGACGGCACTCAACAACAACAACAGTACCTACATATATATTGCTTTCTTTCTTTTTTTTGCTTTTTAAACAGTAAAAAAAAAAAAAAAAAGTGCTATGTGGTAGTGTCTGAAATAATTAAATGAACAGCAGTTCAATGTAGATCATGACATCTGTTAAAAGCATGGATTCATTTGGAACTATCTAGTTTTTTTTTTTTTTCTTTTTATGTGTTTTTCTATCCCAATATAATATTGTTTATATTGTATTAGTCAGTAAATTGGAATTAAGAATGAAAGCTAGCAAAAACATACCTAGAAATCCTGTTAAAGTAAGAGAGGTTAAACTTAAGACCACAGACTCATACTACATTGCCTACCAGTGTGATCTGACTATATTCTTAATGATGTTATTTATTAGGAATATGTAAGGTCTAACTTCACAACCCACTTTTAAGTCAGAACCACTTACAATCCAACCACTTAGATAATTGTAAAATCTCAAGCCCTAATATGTTTCCCCACAAGATGCTGTGCAAAATAACCTGTTGCCAAGGGGGACTCAAAATATAATCACCAGTGCCAGAAATAACTGTGCATTATTACCCTTTTGAATTTCATTTTCTAGCTTTCAACATAGTCTTTAGAGTCTTCAAAAAAAGGTAATAGGACTCAGCAAGGAGGCCTTCTAATCAATAAATTAATTCACTTGAAAGTCATACTTAAAAAAAAAAAGTAGCGTATATATTGGGAGGAGGGAAAAAAAAAAAAAAAGCAAGTGCACTTTGAAAACAGTGCAGTCATCTATATTGCTCTCAGATGCCTAATGCTCCACAATTTCTGGAGAGAATTGTTATCTATAAAACTGTAAAGCCAGTTATGGATACTATAAATGTACCCTTAATTCAAGTACCTTGCTCCACACACATGTAGCAGATCGCTATTTAGAGACTATAACCAAGAACTATGTTACTTTAAACCCAATGGTAACAAAGAGGAGGGTTAGTGGTGGAAACTCCCAAGAAAATAAATCTAAATGGTACATTCACACCAAGAAAATCAAATAAAATAGATTCAAATTTCAAATTTGAAATGGGGTAAAGGAGGATGAGGAGGGGAAGGAGAGCAAAGGGAAGGGGGACAGACAGTGGAGTGGAGGAGGGCAGGACCCCCTTGCCTGTCCCCCTCCACACTCTGGCCTTTCTCTCTAATCCCCTCCTTCTGCCTATTCTGAGCTGACACTTTTCCCACACTGAGGCTTGGACTCCCTTACCTGCTGCGTGCCCCTGCATGTCTGTTTCTCCTTTGCTGGCCAATTTCCCCACCCCATGGGCCCCCAGGCAGCGAAACCCTCTCAGGCTTGAGCTTCCAGTTGCCCCAGAACAAGTTACAAATAAAATAGATTCAAATGTCAAATTCAAACTCAAAGATTCACTACTTTTCTTAAGGACACCATGCCAAAAAAAGAAAAAAAAAAGTCATGAATGCATTCAACAAAAACAGAAATATTTCAAGAGGTCAAGTTAATAGTGTTAAGATTATAAGGATGGATGGTATCTTACAACTTAAGGGAAAATACAGAAATTTCCACAAAACCATGGAAATCTTTGTGAATCTATACAAGATCTAAAAATAGACCAAATAGTGATTTGCAAATGTCAACTAATTTGAAAATGTAACAGAAGGAAGCATAGTTTAATAAAAAACAAAACTGTTAAAATACTAATAAATTATGGTCTATGTAGAAGATACACTTTTAGGTATTGTATATATTGATAAAACCAATTGCTTTCTAGTTGATGTTGACTCACAGCAACCCCATGTGTGCAGAGTAGAAGTGCTCCACAGGGTTTGCATGGCTGTGATCTTTTAAGAAGCAGATGACAATACCTTTCTTCCAAGGTGTCTCTGGATGAGTGCAACCTTGAATCTTTTGGTTAGCAGCCAAACTTCTTCTTTCTCTCATGGAGTGGCTCGGAGGCTCTAACCACAGACTTTGTAGATCTCAGTTTAGTGCTTATATTATAGAAACCACCATGCGCCCCAGACTCTGGTTAGGAAAATGCTGTAACAGTATTAGCACCAATATATAGCATTCTAAGGTAAAATGAAGTAAGATTATATTCAAGAAAATTTTCTAGTTTCTTGAGTCAATTGTATTCAGATCCCATATTTCTCATCATTTGTTTCTAAGCTAAGCAAAAGAGCTTCTTGTTTATCTGTTATGCAGTACTAAAACTACCTTCTTACCCTCATATATCACCTATATGAGAAAGGCTCTTATATTGATACTTTACTTAACTTCCAATTTTATTATTTAATAAATAGATACTACAACAACCTATGCTTATTTCTAACAGAAAAAAAAAAAAAAGAAAGAAAGAAAAAGAAAAGTATTTTATCTTACTCATAGAGGCTGGTGCAGGTTTTGTAAGGCAAAAAATATATATCTATTTTTTATCTTCAATAAAAATAGTACAAAATACCTAGTGAAAAATTGGAGTTTGGTGTAGCACTGTAGTAAAAGCACTGGACTGCTAACCACAAGGCTAGTGGTTCAAACCCACCAGCTGCTCCTCAGAAACCACACACAGGGTCACTATGAATCAGAATCAACTCAATGGCACTTATCAACAATGACAACAACAGCACAAAATTAGGTATAGGGTATTCGAAGAGGCATGTCAAAATGAGGGGCACTGAATCTGAGATTCAGTTAACTCGTCTGTGTGTGTGCATAGCAGAACATTTTTAATATTTTGTAATGTTCCATTATAAATTACACTAACATATTTTTAATTCAAATAGCATAGCACCTTTCATTCCCTGCTACTTTGACCCTCAACTTTGTTTTGTTTTATAACTGATTGCTCAAAAAAGGTGCACGACAAGGTTTTATTCTTTCACCATACTTATTCAACCTGTATGCTGAGCAGATACTATGAGAAGCTAGGTTCTATGAAGAAAAATGTGGCATCAGGATTGGAGGAAGACTCATTAACAACCTGTGATATGTAGATGATACAATCTTGCTGGCTGAGACTCATTAACAACCTGTGATATGCAGATGAT